GTTTGATGGTATCTAGTATTTCTCGTATATTAGTCTCAAATTTTGGGGCCATTTTCTCAGTCTTCATGGTAGATTTTTCTAGGCTAGCAATTTTCTCTTCTATGTCTGAGATTCTATTTTCTGTATCACCTAGTCTACTTTTAATACTTTCAAGGGAGACTTTGACTTCCTGTATTATAGCCTTCATCTCTAACAGTTCCATCCGATTCTTTTGTAAACTGTGAAATTCCTCTTTTAGATCTTGCATGAATTTCTTCACCTCCTGGAACTCAACAACTTCTGTCTCCTTCCTCTGCAGCCGTTCCTTGTCTCTCTTCTCTTCCATCTCTGTTAGTTTTGTCATTATGAATGTTCTGAATTCTTTATCAGACATTTCCATGAATTCCCTTGAACTGTGTGTCGATGAAGACGAGTTATCCTTTTCCCTTGGAGGAGAGGTATTTTCCTGCTGTCCCATATTTCTTGTGGTCCTGCAGTGATTTCCAGTCATCTGGTTGATGGTCTATTTCTTCCCAAAGTTGGAAGTTCAATATGAGCATTGAGGAGCATGCAGAAAAGGAAACAGAAAGAGAGAAACAACAGCAAAAAACAAACAAGAAACAGAGAAAGAGAAGAAAAAACAAAGATAAAAACTATTCAATAAAACTAAAAAAATTAATATTTAAAAATATTTCAGTAAAAAAACAAAAATTGGAAAATTGCGTGGCGCGAAATTCTAAAAAGCAAAAATTAAAAAAAAAAAGAGAGGCGACAGAAACAGAGACCGAGGTAGAGAGAGACAAAGACAGGTACAGAGACAGGAGGTCTGGAAGGGGTCTTCCTACCACGTGAGTTTTATGTGCTGGAGGCCTAATTATCAGTGGGAAGTCTTGATTTCTGTTTCCCCAAAATGGCTAGTTTGCAGAATCCATGAGGCTGTGTCTTCAAGAAGGCCTGTTGCCTTTGCCTCGACTTATCCTCACTTTCTATAAAAACTGGTTGCTACCCTTTGCCTAACAGCATCAAATCGAGATTATGACACATAATACAACATACGCACACACACAAACACACACCCTTTAAGTGGCTGCATGATTCATCACCTGCCCTTCAAACCTGCTATTCATATCCACAGAGTGGTCTCAGACCAGCAGCATCTGTGTCACCTGGGAGCATGCAAGACATACACAACCTCAGACCCTATCCCAACCCTGCTTAATCTGCTTAACTGGATTCTGCTTTTTTTTTTTTTTTTTTTGAGAGGTTTTTGCTATAGTTTGCATGCGCTCGCCAGAAAGACAAGAGACAGAAAGCAAGAAATCACCACCACCAACACCACCAACACCCCCGCCCCGGGGGATGACCACTCTGCAATCTTTTTCCTCCATTCTCCTCTCTGGATCTTGGGCACACACACACACACACGCAACCCGGCATGTGTGTAAGTCATGGGGTCTAGGACTCGAACCACAGTCGACTACATGGAGTTTAGCAACATAGCCATTACACCATCTCCTGGTCCAAAACTCTGCTTCTAAATGGCATCCTTATTCAAATTTTGTGTTCATTAAAGTTAGAGATACATCACTCTAGAGTTGTGTTCACCAGAGTGAAACACAACAGGTAATTTTTTTTGAGTATGGAAACATCTTATTAGAAATTCTCTTTAATTTGGATTTTTGCATGTATCTTATGAATCGTTGCCTATTTTAACAAATCATCCAAGCCTTTCTCATCCCTAAGCTTTTGCATATGCTATTCCTTTTTTTCTGGAATTAATGTCCCCCTTTCTGCTAACTGAGATGTTTGCACACCCTCCAATATCATCTCTTCGAAGAAGCCTTCCCACTCCTTCAAACAGGTTGTCACTCCTTCCTCCACACTCATAGACATTAATATGACATTGCTTTTGTTTGCCAGTTCATCTGCCCCATTAGATTATGAATTCCTCAAGGATGAAAACTGTGCCATCTCTATCTGTGTGTCCTCAGTGCATAGCACAGAGATGTTTTCTAAGATAAACAAATAGAGGTATCAATTGAGAAGATTCTGCTGTAGTTTCAACACTTCTCTTTTATGTCTCTACTTGAATCAAGAGACAGTTGTTTCCTAATCTCTTTTCTCGATTTGTATGGCTAAGGCTTCTGGCTGATTTCTGGTTTGTGACATACCAGCTGGACAGAGCTGACAGTAGACAAAGTTTGATTATCACTCACCTATAACCAATACAGAGCACTTCAGATGACATTTCATCCTTTTTCAGCTTTTTTGCTGTTTGGTGTGGACACAAACGACAAAGCAGACAGTAACAGACATCTGGAATCAAATGTTTAGCAATTTTTGCTCTGTGGGACTCTGAGCTTAGTAAATTTCAAGGCCATTCTCATGCTAACATTATTGGTTATATGAGCAAAGACCTCATTTAAAAGAAAATCATTCTGTTTTTTCATCTGCTCCAAGATAACATTGGCTGATTCTGACCTTAATTTTGTAAGCTACTTAATGGTATTAAGTTCATTAGTAGCATAGTCTGATATCCTTTTTTTTATTTTAATTTTTATTTATTTCTTCTATGATTAAGAGATAGAGAGAGATAGGTAAAGAGAAGGAGAGATATCACCCCCCACAGTATATTGACTCCACAATCCATGCCTAGCCTCAGCCAGGCCATGATCATGAGCACACATGTGCCTGACACACTCAGGGAGATCTTGGGACATGAACCCTGATATTCTCCCAAGTGGGCCAACCTCACACAGCATTGTGTTTTACCACTGTTCTAACACCACCACCCAGCACCCGCCCCGCCCGGTCTGACATTATGAAACACAATGATAACTAATAAATTTTCTAGTTAAAAATATTTCTCTAAATCATTACAACAAAATTTGGTATGTCCAGAAGCCAAGAAAATGTCTCATTAGACTAAATCTATTTCTGCATATGCAAACTTAAGATAATACCTACCTGCCACACAAGCTTACTGTGAAGGTCTGATAAGATAATGCATGTACAACAAAATATTATAGTCTACAAAACTCTAGGCAAATGTAAGACATTTTCATTAATTGCCCTAACAGTTTTTCCAAAACATGACTCTTTAGATTTCATTTCTTCAAGCAATCAGTTAGAAAACTTCAACTCCTTTTTGTAAAGTTTTTCTATTCAGAACTAGCCTCTTAGCCTAGTGGTTAATGGAGTCAGATTCCCACATGACCTACAGTGGTTCAAATGCTATCCCCAGTGTTTTGAAAAACACGCCAGATGTGTGTGTGTGTGCACACCCAGAATTCCAACATGATGGAGAAATGGAGAAAAGAAATTGCAATATGACCCTGTTCTGTTAGGGAGTAGGTGCCTTTTCTTTTCATGCAGCTCTCTGTCTCTTACTAGTGAGCACACATGCCCTTAAGCATATTTTTAAAAGCTTATTCTTTCATTTCTTCCATGAACAAGAGAGACAGACAGATAGGGAA